TGGTTTACAAATGCCTGATCTACACATGTTTAAGATAACCTACTCTTGTAATGCTTTTCAATGCAAATATGCAATCATCAAAAATGGTTTACACAGACTGTATATATATATTTAAAGTATACAGATATTACTAGATATTACAATACCAATACCAATGCAGATATTAATACTAATTTGTATCAAATTTATGAAATCAACTCTTACTGAAGTATATTAAAAATTGCTTGTAATAATGGCTAAATAACATGGATAATTAACATAGATGTAACATAGATACATACTGTTATTGGCAGCAAGAAACTTTTCGATTATAAAGTCTCTACTTCTAACTTTAACTTCATCGTCGGTGGCGTTAATCTTATTCTTTCCCAACTGTTGTTTTAGTGAATCCCTAACCTTTTGTATCAACTCTTTGCTACAATTGATGGCCAAAAACGCGGTTAGTATTATACAAATAGTTAACACCTTAATTATAACCATCATGTATTTTACTCAATAGTTAAATAAATAAAAAAGTTCTCATAAAATAAACAATTAATTTTTTAAACACATATTGAAAGTTTATACAGTATTCTAATTAGACATACATTTAAGTATATTTATTAATAAAGTATATTTTTTATACTTTATATTTAAATGTATATTTTTTCGAGATATTGCAGAAATTACGGTTTATGTTCGCGTAAACGAAATTATATTTTTAGTTTTATTAATTTAATAATAAAAACAATTTAGTTTTAAAATTATTTTACTCTTACTTAATTAGTAATACAAATTCAATCAATTTATAATTATGCAAATATTGAGGTTTGGTTAACAAAGCATTCTATATTTACGTATTTCTGCTTTAATTAAAACAAAATTAAATAATTAATTTTGTAAATTTTAAAATTAATTTTATTAGTCAGCATATAAATGTCAATGAATTCAATTTACTTAAAACTTATAACTACTTATTTAATCACAATAATTGAGATACTCGGGCAACGAGTTAAGCCCACTCTCCTTAAGACCCTCGAGAATACATTCGCCGTTTTGCTGTATGACTGCATCCCATTCCTCTTCAGGGATGTGCTGCAGATGTGGCAAACATTTGCCACTTTTCACGCCATCGGGTATACGTCTGAAGCCCTCATTAGTGCCGCCGACGTATTTGGGCATCTGATCCAAAGCCACCCATTCCTCCACATGAGACCAGTCGGCGAAACGGATCTTATTTCTTAAGTTCTCGTTCAACAGATTGATCAACAAATTAATGGCAAACTTCACAATCCATCCCAAATCGATCAACAAAAATGTAACTTTACTATCGGGAGCATGTGCGTTTACAAACGCTACCACTTGCTTATCAAACTCTGTATTTAATAATTAACAAGCTTATTAATTAATAAAATTATTAAAGTTATAAACAACCTAAACTATGATAAAAATTATCAAGGACATTAATCAAACAAAACTGACCCATGTCTACATTATGCATTCCCATTTTGGACAGTATTCCGTACACAACTGCCGGCTCGCCGTCCACTTCCAGATAGTATTTCATGAATATATACTTAAAGAATTTGAGCGCCAATTCAAACATCTCTTCACTCATATCGGATACATTGGGAGCGCACCGACCGATCACTCCCATGACTGCCAGGTCTTTCTTAGATCGGCCAAACCCTATGAAATTGCCCATTGCGTAGAACTCAGCCGGGAAATACGTATCATTCATTTCGTGCAAACCCTCCGTTTTAAACACGTTCAATGAGTAAAGTAGCGCCGTTTCGGCCATTTTTTCGTCATCTAGGTTATTTTAGATAAAAAGGTTATCATTATTATATTATAAGTTATGATTAAATCATTATTAAATAGTTATTTTTAATGCTATTTACGCTAACTTTTATACTCTTTAAGGTAGCGCTCGAGAAACCAGTTTTTAGTTTTAACTCTTTCGATGTCGATCGGGTGAATAGCATCAGGGTGTTCTTTGGCGTATAGCAGCACTTTACTCCTAAGCTCCTCCACCTGGTCTTTAAGCGATGGTTTGTCACAATAAATGAACGATAAATGTAAAAATTGTAGATATAGTGCCAAACAAATACACCATTTGACAGACATTATTGTTTTTAAAACGTTTATTTTAACGCAAAACATTTAATTAATTTAGCACTACTTAATATGTCAAATAAAAATAATTAAAAATATTAATTAATAATTATGGTAAAAATTTTTCAATGTAATTAAATGTTTATAAAATGATTTATATTTATAAAAATTTAATGTTTTTAACTAATTGTAAGGCCCGAGTAGTGAGACTTTTGGGTATTAACTATAATAAATTAACTAAAATTACTATTAGTTAAAACACAATTCAAATACTGGCACTCAATCACACATTCATTTACACATACATTTAACGTCAAACACTTTTTGGCTTAAAATAAAGGTTTTATTCAAAATCAGTTTTAAAGTTGGGATGAGTTTCAAAACTATTGAGTGTGTATTCATTCAGGTGTGGAGAGAGTGGTGATAAATGTCCGGTGCTTTCAAACTATATTTAAACTCATGTTTAGCCGTCATTATCCTTTGCCCGTCCCTTCGCTGACCCTTTTATGAGGGGTTGGGCTTCTGTTTCTCTATATCAACACTAAAACTAAACTTCTCTTTGATGTCCACTTTTGGGCAACAATAATAAAAATGGGTTTCAATTCAAATATAACATTAAATGCAAAACAAAAGTCTGATTTGTTTCAAAGCATTACACAATACTATGTAAATTAAGATAAACCCTCTCAAAATAAAATTACAACAATTAGGCAATTAATAAAATTAATTTAAAAAACACATAATTTAATAAAAAGTACAAATTAATTACAAAAACATATAACTAGTTTACACAATAAACATATTAACAATGAATATACTGCTCAATGGTTTTGAGTTTGCTTTCAGTGAGCCCTTCATTAATACACAGTGTATTCAATTTGACGAAATCAGTCCATTCCTGGGCCGGAATGTGGGAGAGGTGTGGCAGACATCGGCCACTCTTAGCGGCTTTGGGCATACGTCTGAAGGCGTGATTCGTGCCGTTGAGAAACGTCGGCAACTGATCCGCTTTCACGAACTCAAACACTTCGGTCGATTGAACAAAACGGATCCGATTCTTGAGATTATCGCTCAACATGTTTACCACGAGTCTGACTGTCACGTCGAGGAATGCGTTCAAATCGACAATCAGCGCGATCGCCTGGGAGGCCGGACTATGGTCGTTTAGAAACTCCACCACTTTGTACAAGTACTCTATTTAAAAACAATAGGGCTAATTAATTTGTTTAGCAACAATAAGGTATATTAAACAACGGACTAAGCTCGATGTTGTCAAATCCGAGCTTGTTCAAATTGAGCATGTACACCGATGGCCGCGAGTCGGCGTCCAATTTGTTGACGAGTACGTTATACTTAACAAACTTCAAGTGCAAGTCCAGCATATTCTGGCTAATCTTGCCGTACGAGCGGACACAGCGGCCGACACCGATCAGTATTGGCTCCTTGTCTTTGGTGCGGCCAAACCTCACAACACTTCCGGTGGCGTAAAACTCGGCCGGAAAGTAGGTGTCGTTCAACACGTGAAGCTCTTTGAACTCTTTCAACGACTTCATCAGCGCCTCCTCCGCTTTCTTCGGGTCATCTGTTATGTGATTTAATTAACCACTCAATCAATTACATGATATGTTTTAACAAATCAATCAAATGGTGATTAACACTCACTTTCATACTCTTTCAGATAGCGGTGTATTAACCAGTCCTTAGTCTTCACCCGATTCACGTCAATCTCGTGAATCACTTTTGGATTTTTTTCGGCGAAATACAAGACATTAGACCGAATGAGATCGACGTGAATACTCAACGATGTGTCCGCTTCGTGCATTTCGGTCACATTTTCACCATAAATGTGTGAAATGTATATAAATAATACATTTATTATTATATAATTAACACTAATTCTAACCATTTTAATAATATTTTTTTGTAAACATTAAAACATATTTATTGTACATTTTTAATTGATTTATATTACTTTACAGTCAAACACTATACAAGTAATTGAATTTTTAAATTAACATAAAGTAGGACTCAACTAAATTTTAATTAAATATATAATACTAAATACAGTCTGCCTTCGTTATAGGGGACTGCGATCTAAGAGAATTTCGATATAAGGGAGTGTATTTCTGATGCCTAAACAGCTCTTGGTGTAGTATAATTAGGGTTGTTACTTTACCGGTAATATTCATTTCAATCTTACATTACAGGTAATATTCGGTAAAATTGGTAATTTTCTACAAATAAATTGAATTAATGTTCAGTTCTTTATGGAATATTAATTATATACCTAATTACGATAGTTATCGTTTGTAATATAATTAAAAATTACAGAACTACTATAAGAATTACAATTAAGTTTGGAATTTTTTATAATTTTTGAAACAAAAATAATAAATAAAAGCAATTTTTCTCGATATTTATTAATAATAAAGTCATTATTGTCTTTCATTTATATCAATTTTAATTATAAAACCAGTAATAATTTATTTTCAAAATTAAAGTTTTGTTAATTATTTGATTATTGGCATTTTGGATATGACTAATATCAAAAATTCTTTATATTTTGATAAGCACGTGTTTAAATGTTGTAATTTACATGTAAGATTCAGAAAACTTGGTAATTTACATGTAAATTACCGTAAATTACCACGGTAAAATTGTAATTTACCAAGTGTCACAACCCTAAGTATAATACACATGTCGATATAAGGGGAATTTGGCATAAGAGACACCATTTTTTGACCAAACGAGTCCCTTATATCGAGGGCAGACTGTATGCTAATAACATAGAACTGAAAATAATTAAAAACACAAATTTTTCAAGTTAAATTAATTTATAATAAAATATTTACAATTTATTTAATGTTTTACAGTAATTTTTAAATATTGAACAAGTTTATTTTTATAATAACCACGAAATACGCTAACACTCGAGGTTTAAGTATTTTTCCATTGATTTTTGATTTCTCTCTTTGAGTCCTTCGCGAATGCAAACAATGTTCTGATCGGTGAACGCATCCCAATCCTCGTCGGGAATGTACTTCAAATGGTTCAGACATTTGCCAGACTTGACTCCATCGGGTATTCTCGAGTAGTTCTCGTAGTTTCCGCCCACATATGTCGGTATCTCCTGATAAGCGATCCACTCTTTGATGTCAACCATTGTTGTAAACGTCACCGACTTTTGAAACGATTCGTGCAATAGATTTGTCAACACTTTAAATGTTAACTTAACGATTGGACTCAAATCGGCCACAAGTAGTTTCGCCGGAGTCGACGGCATAAAGTCGTTGACAAAATCCACAACATTTTCAAACATTTCTATTCAAAAACAATTATCTAAAATAATTTGTTACGTAAAACTAAAACTATTCACTGCATACTAACTAATTTCAAAGTTAACAATATGGGCCTCTTCTGCCGCTACGTACACAGTGCGGGGCCTTTGGTCCAACTCTATGCGCTTCTTATACACAAAATACAATATGAATTTTCGGCCCAAATCGTACATATCTTCGCTAATGTCACGATAGGGTGTATAACACCGGTTACAGAAGCCCAGTAGGGGTGCGCCCGCTTTGTCCACTCCGTGTCCGATTAGGAAACCCGTCGCATAAAACTCGGACGGAAAGTACGAGTCGTTGAGTTGAGCGAAACCCTCCTTTTTGTAAAACTTGAGCGCTTTTAAAATATTGTTTTTTGGCTTATCGTCGTTCACTGCAATTATGAACATTTTCATTACTCAACAAATTCAATCACAATGTGGTTATCAATTCTTACAACTTTTGCCATTAGCCTTAAGATAGCGTTCAATTATATAATCCTTTTTACGGATGTGCTCGACGTCCGACTCGTCAAACTCAGCAGGGTGCAACTTCACGTGATCTAGCACTTTCTGGCGAATCATCTTGACCCGATCCTTGAACGTGACGTGAGGTGTCATTTTACGTGTCTTAACATTGCATTCGCTTAATAGCAGAACATGGTTTAAAATAAATAACCATGTTATAAGTCTGCTTAAATCAGACATTTTTCATGTTACGTTTATTTATGTAAACCTATCGCATATTAATTGCTAAATGTAATATTGATACATAAATAATTTCCACACATGCAATAACCAAAATTATTATTACATTATATAAATTAAATATTGAAGTTTTAGAGTATTGAATAAATAGTTAATTTATTTATTCATAATTCACAATAATATACTGTGACAGATTATAATTTCAAAAATACATATAAATACGTACAATTAATAGTACATTTAAATTATATACATTTATTAACTAATTTTCAACATTCAATGTTTAAATACTTTTCCATAGATTTAATGCCAACATCTTGCATGCCTTCTCGGATGCAAACAATGTTTTGATCGATAAACGTATCCCAATCCTCATCCGGAATATGACTCAAATGCTTCAGACATTTACCACTCTTTACTCCATCAGGTATTCGTGTGTAGTTCTCATAGTTGCCGCCGATATAAGCAGGTATTTCACTATAACTAATCCATTGCTTTATTTTACGTATTGTTGTGAACACCACTTGTCCGCTAAACCATTCATTCAATAGGCTTACTATCATTCTGAACGTCACCCTAAGAATGACGGGCAGATCCACGATTAGAAGTGTGCCCGGAGTGGACGGCATATAATTATTGGCAAAATCGATAGCATTTCTCATTATTGCTATTGAAATAAAGTTATGTTTAGATTGTAAATCTATCATGGCAACTTTTCAAAACACTCACTAAATTCAACATTTTCCAGAACAGTTCCGGCGGCGGATACATACACTGCTCGGGGCTTTTGATCCAACTCTATGCGACTCTTATATACAAAATACAGCAGAAATTTTCGGCCCAAATCATACATATCTTGGCTAACGTCTCCGTAGGGAACGTAACACCGGTTACAGAAACCCATTAGTTGTGCGCCCTTTTTGTCCACTCCGTATCGGACGAGAAAACCCGTTGCAAACAACTCGGAGGGAAAGTATTGGTCGTTGAGTTGAGCCAATTCCTCACTTTTGTAAAATTTCAGAGCTTTTAAAATACCTTTCGTTGCATTTTCTTCGTTTACTACAATCGCGAGGAATGTCTTCTCATTTAAAACTCAACACAGAATTTAAATAAAATTATTAAACAAATAATTCTTACATTTATTTGCCTTTAGATACCGTTCAATAATATAGTCTTTATTGCGAATGTGCTCGACGTCCATCTCATCAAATTCATCAGGGTACTTAGTCACTTCATCAAGGACCATTTGGCGAACCTTTTCAACACGCTCACCAATTGATTTTATTTTTGCCGATTCAATTAGTAGTAAATAGGTATTTAAAATTAATAACAAAGTGGTATATTTTTTATGGACAGACATTTTTCTATAAAATTTTAATATTATTATGTAATTTATTGCATATCAAATATATACTCTTTAATAATATTTATAGTAATTCTTATTTATATGTTGTTTTGAAAGTGACATTATTTCTAACAAAGTTGTTATGGTTTATATATTTGGTAAGAAATGATACAAACATAACAATTTAAACATAAAAAGTTATTTTTGTATACAACGTGTTAGAATTAAATCATACAGTCATAGAAAATTGGGCGTCAAAACCGAGGCCTAACTGTATCAACAAATGTCTCAACAATTAACGTTCAAAAACTTGTCCACCGATTTAATACCA